ATATAACACACACACACAAACTAAAGAAAAAGGCAGAATAGTTACATAGCACTTTTCAAATGTGGATGCCAGGTAAAGGTGGTTCATTCCCCTTTTCAGACTGTCTACATACCTGTTCATCTACCTAATCCTTCCAATTTGTTATATTTATACAGTACTGTATATCACATTTTCTCCAGTGAACTCAAGGCAGTATACCCGGTTCTCCTTACATTATTCTCACAACAACCCAGTGATGTCGACCAGGCTGAGAAAAATATTTGGCTCAAAGTCACCCCATGAGTTTAAAGGTCAAGTGGGGACTTGAACCCAGGTCTCTTGGGTTCCTTTCCAACACTTTTAACCAGCATATCATGCTGGCCTATGGTGGTAGGAGCTATCTGTCTGGAAGTTTACTGGCCACTGTTGTTGCCACGGAAATACAGTAACCTAAGTTACGCAGCACTGTGAGGTTATGAATGATGTCACAAACAAAGTAAGCTCAAAAATCTGGGCAGAGAGAGACAGTTAACAGATCAAGTTTGAACTCTGGCGAGCTGCATCCTTGTGGCAGGTAATGGATTTGATTGGTGGCTATATTATTATTTTTGTCATAGGGAAAGCTTTGAAAATGTTTTGCACTCTCGATTGCCAATAATTAATCACTGAAATAGCCAAGCAACCAAATAATTTATTTTGATTGCTTGATTAACGGTAATCAGTACAGTTTCTGAATGCCTTGACCATCAAAAGTAGCCACTCTTTGAGAACATGAGGTGAGTCACTCAACTGTGTTGGGAACACACAAAAATCCACTATTTATGTAATTTTTCTCATTTTGAGCCTGCAGCAGAAGCTGCAGACAGTCCCCCAGGGGCCAAAATATCATCCTCCAGCATCTCTCACCTACAAAAATGGGGGAAGAGGAAGCCCCCAAATCCTCTTTGCCCTCCTTTGGGGCATGAAGGAAATCTGGCTGTGTTTTGAGGTCTTCCAGGACTCCAGACTGGTGCTCCCTTAGCCCCTATGTAACATCATTTTTCTAGTAGTTTATAGGATGGGGTGACTGCCAATCTTAGGGTGTGTTTAAGACATTACCCAACAGGTGTAAAATTGAAATATATATTTGAAGGGATTCAAACCTTTTCCCTATGGATTATGTTCAGAATATGTTTCACTTCTTGGTGCCTTTCAAAAGCAGGCATAGATTTCATTTTACAAACCAAAATCAAGTTATTCATTGTGACTGAAACATGTCTGGATAACCTGGTGTCACACAGAAATAAGTGCTTAAGTGCTTAAATGGAAGATTAATTGTGTGCCTGTATTTCTCTTGGCATCTTGTCTCCTTTCATCACTCCTTTCATCACTACAGAAATAAGTGCTTAAGTGCTTAAATTGAAGATTAATTGTGTGCCTGTACAGTATTTCTCTAGGCAACTTGTCTCCTTTCATCACTCCTTTCATCACAAATTGCCCATCCTATCCCTCCTCTCACCTTTCTTGCATTGGGTTCTGTTTCCCTAGTAACGGATGAGCTACATCTGAAGGTGGCGGGCTGTCACCAAGGGATGTTCTTAAACAAAATTTGAATGGCCATGTGTCAGACATGTTTAACTGTAGATTTCTAGCATGACTTGATGATCTTGATGATCTTCAAGGAACCTTTTAAAGGTTCCACGACTTGATGATCTCAAAGGAACCTTTTAAAGCCACAGTTTCATCCTTCTATTATTCTTTCTTTTTCCACCCAAAACATGCCAGATGGAGACGGCAAAAGTTTGCACATGAAACTTTAAAGAGTTTTCAGAATTTTCTTATACAGTCCCCCCCATTCTTGAATAATTTCAGAATCATTTAACCACTAGAGGGTAGTGTTGACATTTGGTTTGGAAGTTCATTTCTTTGCTGGTTGGCTGAATCTGAACAAAATTTAAATGCTCAACAATTATCTATCAGGATCTTTGATCCTATTTAGAATGATTTTGTATTACTAGCAGTAAGGTTTCTTCTGATCCCTTTACATTATGAGTGAGCAGTTTTCAGGCTTGTTGGATGCTTGGATTTACTCCCCAGCCCTTTCCTGCTAAAAACATGCGTTCTGCCAGCTACAACCAGGTGCAAAATACATAAAATTAAAGAAAGCAGGATTCCTGAGGTCCATTTTGAGCCCAAGGAATTTTTTAAAAAATCATGTAAACACTCTGCCTTATTCACAGAACTGAGGGTGAGGAAGAAGGAAATCCAGAATGCAGTCGTCCACTTGCAGGCCCCCCACATTTTCTCAGCACTGCTGTGCCTTCTTTTCCTGAGCATAGAAATATATGTTGAGGAGAAAATATGCAATGACTGCATTATGACCTTTAGGACTCATATGGGCAGTATATTTGTCCCCCTATGTACCTCACTCCATACTGATGTTTGTTTTGACCCTACCATTCTCCTTCAGGAGGACCCAAGGCAGCTTACATAATTGGAAGACAATATTTAAAGCTAAAAACAATTAGTATACAACATTGACTTGCATCATTAAAGTGCAATATATAAAGAAGAATGAATATTAAAAGGCAGTTTAAATCATTAAAATACAATACTAAAGCTAAAATACAACTATACAAATCTTTAAAAGGGAAAAAATACCACTCGGAGAAATGCTAAGCACAAGCAATACAGTACTATAAACACAGTCGATGCAGTAATGCATAACAGTCCATCTAAAAATCACACTCAGGTAGCCAGTCACTGAGGGAAAGCTTGCCTCAAGAGAAAAGTCTTTACCTGCTTGCGGGTGGACACCAAAGAAGGGGTCAGTCTTGCCTTCTATGGGAGGGAGTTCCAGAGTCTGGGAGCAGCAAGCCCTCTCTGGTGTACCCACTAAATATACCTGTGAAGGTGGTGGAATTGAGAGAACGGCCTTTCCTGATGATCTTAACACCTGAGCTGGATCATAATTTTTCTCATTGTACAAGGACCAGGTTGGTACCGGTCGTGACAAAGTTTGATAACCCCCAGCTTTCAAGTCGTTGTTGTTTTAAAGAAAAACCACATCCTAGAGGTGCCTCTTCCCCTTGGCTTTATAGCTGGGTAACATTCAGGCCACAATGGCTTCTTGGGCTGCAAGCTTTCAGAGTTAGCACTAATCTACTAACTTACAAACCTAAAACAACTATCCCGCTCAGATCATTTTAAAAAAGGATTTCAAGCATTTCTTCAGTGTTTTCCAAAGCACTGGCGTGAGAGACAGCTGATTTACAAAGGAGATAGGAGTGGAATGAGTCTCTACTGAAAAGGGCTAAGGCCATAGGCTGTTATGTGAGTGCCAATCTAATAAAACACGCAAACACCACATACACACTGAAATCGAACAGAATCATTTGTAAAGGGTTTCTTCACTGTATTTTCAAAGGCTTTCAAAGGTTTCTTCACTCTTTTTGAAAATATTTTTCAACATTTCCTTTAAAAATGCTGATTTCTTAAAGAGAGGAGAATTTAGATTTTCAGAGTAGACAGAAACCCCAGTAAGGCTGGAACTAATTCAGTGTCAAGCAGCAGCAAACAGCGCGAGGGGAAATGCTCCCTCTTGATGAGCCATTACTGGTAGTTCTGGAGCCATCTGTCTCTATAAATATCCTGGCCTTTGTTTAGATACTAGAAACAAACAGAGCTTACAGTCCCTTTCCATGGAATTCTACCTTTGGTAGCAGCAAACTTACCCTGTCCCCTTCACTGTTTTAGCTCTACAATTTAGGCATGACTTTTATTGCTGCTCTTTACGGTTTAAGAACTACGCAACACTGGGTGAAGACAACAGCAACAAATGTACTGTATTTTTCCGTGTATAAGACTCCCCCCACTTCTCTAATCCAAATTTAAGAAATCTAAATGGGGCTTAGCAAGTGTAGGGGGAAAGGGATCAAAGTGCTGCAGGATCGCTTTGATCCCTGCTTTCTCCTCCACTTGTTTTCGTTCTCTCCTCAGCTTGCTTCTGTGTATAAGACAACCCTCAATTTTTAATCTAAAGATTTTATACAAAAGTATAGTCTTATACATGGAAAATTACAAAGCGCAAAGCAAAGCATGCTACTTATATACCGCCCCATAGTGCTTCAAGCCCTCTCTGGGCGGTTTACAAGTTAATTTTCAGGCTACACATTGCCCCCCCCCCCCAGCAAGCTGGGTACTCATTTTACTGACCTAGGAAGGATAGAAGGCTGAGTCAACCTTGAGCCAGCTACCTGGGATTGAACCCCAGGTCATGAACACAGTTTTGGCTGCAGTACAGCGGTTTAACTACTGCGCCACGAGGTGCAATTACAGTAATTGTCTTTAAATTGCCACGATATTTTGTGTTGCTTTTGCTGCAACCACACAAACAACAAAACAATCAAATATATTTGAGACTCGTAAGAT